TTCCAACATTTCAATTTCACGGTAGGGTAGCTGACCCCAAGTTTCACATGCTAAAAGTGCAGTTGTAAGGATAATTCTTTTCCTTTTCATGTTATTTGTTAAAGCTCTTATCCACTGTGGATTAACACCAACAGTATAAAGTTAGTGACGTTTCTGTTTCAATTTTTTACTGGGGTTATCTGTTTTTCCATCTGATTAAATAAGTGTTCCAGCGTAAGTAAATGTACTTTTTCTTTCGAGTACAACATTGCCTGGGACAGTGGTGTAACAGTACGACATGAGAACAAACTATAAAAATCATTTGAAAAGGGTTTAACTCATCAGATCACGTACAATATTATCCTTGATTATACATTTTTTTTGAAAGAAAAGCACTTCGGACACACCCATTTATAAAGTGTTTTTTTGTTTTTCATTTTCCTGTAACCACCACAAGAAAATCAAATGCGTATGAATACTGTTAAAATAATTTTGTTTCTTTATGTTATCGCATATCGTGCGTCATTGAATATATGCCAGCTGACAGTAACTGGCCACTGACTGCAATTAGTCCTTGGCTAGTATTTATAATATAAATGTTATGCAAATCATGTATCTTTCCGTAAATCCTTTGTTTTTATTAGTGGAACAGATTGACTTATTTTTTTATTCCTACATTTCAATTAATTTTTACTATATAAGTGGTTTGATACACCTATATTGGCAAATTTACTGGGACATCAACGTTACAAAAGAGTTTTTATCGTACCTTTGGTATTTTCCGCCTCTTCACCAGACATTAGTAGACACACAGTGTTCTATAACGGAACCTTTAAAGACATTTTTCAATTATTTATTTGCATTGTTCAAATTTTGTTTTAGAAATGACACATCTATTATATCGCAAAAGATAGGTGGAAGATACAAAAGGGATAGTCAAACTCATCGCAACTAAGTCGAAAACGAACTGACAATGCCATGGCGAAAAAAAAACGACCAAAAGACAAACAACATATAAAAATCAGAAGATGTGGTATGATTGCCAACGAGACAACTCTCCACCAGCAATAAGAACCCCATCAAAAACCGGGGTTGATCTCAGGTGCTCCGGGAGGGTAAGCCGATCTTGTTCCACATCTGGCACTCATCGTGTTGCTCATGTTAATTCAAACCCTGTGAGAAGTCTTAATTCGGTAGGTCACATTCGAGGAAAAGAAGACGGGATTGAAGTAATGACAATTGGAACATATCCGTCGTTTCACAGATATTCCATAAGTCAACCAACTTGAGATGGCGTATGTACAATATCGAAGGGATGATTCTAACTTCGCCACTTGGAACTCTTGGCTTAAAAGCAACCCTATATAAAGGAAATACAAGCTATGGAATACCGTTTCAACTTGGAAATATATACTCAATATGCAGGCGCTTCTGGACTGTTGCTACACGGATATGGAAAGTTCACAATTTGAAAGCTGACAACATTTCTTTTATCGTAAAGTTTTGATCTCAATCGACCCATATGGTGAACTTCAAGATGTAAGTCAAGATATGAGGCAGCCAAACTGTATGTGTTGTATTCTTTATTTCAAGTCCGATGGGATAGATGCATTCAAAATAGTCAACACAAGCTTTGAATGATTCAGTTAGAGGACATCATCTTTATAGCAGGACGTGAGTTAACAGATTTTGCCAAATTCTTTTCATTATTCCTTAGAAGCTCCTGTATGAAGTTTTCCTCATATGAATAAAGGAACAAGTCTGCATGCAGAGGAGCACAGCAACATACTCATAACTAGACGAAAGGTATTTGAGAGACTACGAATAAGTACTACATGGGAGCAGGTGAGATTCATGGATGAGGTAAAATGCGAGAAACAATGTTGATCGGTACAAGACAATTTGTAAATACTGATTAGCTAAATCAATTATTTCCTGGAAACTACTTTTAGCCTCGTACATTCTCGTTTTACTCCCTGTGCTCGACAAGATCTGAGGGATTAATGAGACAGTAATCTACCGATGATTAAAAAAAAGGCCCCTTTATGTTATAAGTAAATAGTAGTTTGTAGAGAAGAGCATCTCTGTTTATTGGGTCAAAACGCTTTTTTTAAAGTCAATGAAACAGGCATATATTTGTTTGGGAAGATTTCAATGCTTAATCAATAATAGTTTTAATGTAAAAATGTGGTCGCTAATTTTACATCCTTTTTTGAATCCTAGATGTTCATTGCAAAGAATGGATGTACAGTGAACAGCCGTCATCATGTTTCGTACGACACATGGACAAACACAGACAGTCATACATGGGATACATATTACATGACAGTACCAGCTACTCATTGGATGATGTGTGTAAGTGCTTGATTTCAAAGTACCGGTAAAAATATAGATTTCATTAAGTAAACAAGAAGAGAAGAAATCGCGTACCAATGATACCACAAAACGTAAAAGACAAAATTACAGAACATTACGACAAAATAATGAAACGTAAAGAAAACTCAACAGAACATAAAGTTAACCAACATGGCGTTCAGATAAAATAGCATAAAGTAAAGATAAAACAGCATAACGTAAAGATAAAACCACATAACGTAACTAGATAAAACATCATTACGTAAAGATAAAACAGCATTACGTAAAGATAAAACCACATAACGTAAAGATAAAACAGCATTACGTAAAGATAAAACCACATAACGTAAAGATAAAACAGCATAACGTAAAGATAAAACCACATAACATAAAAATAAAACAGCATAACGTAAAAATAAAACAGCATAACGTAAAGAAAAAAAACGCAAAACGTAAAGGAATACACGACGTCATAAGACAGTCCTTGCGTTTCAAATTTTGAGTATGTATCACCTGATTGTTTAGAAATGACATTCTTAACCAAATTGATAACCAAAATTAAAATAATGTTCAACCAAAGTTTTATAGATTTCATTTTTAATAAAAATAAATTCATTTTGGTTAGAGACGCCCTTCCAAAAATGTTCGTTTAAAATTTGTTTTTATCTAACTTTTGTACCGAAATGCATTTCACAGCAACATGTGACGACGAGTTAAGGCGACAGTAGTTTACTAATGTTCAAATCTCGTGAATGGAATAAAAAGGAACAAATCAAGGTAACAAACAATAGAAAAGGTAATTGTATGAAGTCAAAACAGGAGCTTAATCTGTTGCGTCGACAGGGTACATGTAAGTGTCTCCTGCTATGCACTAAATCTGTTGCGTCGACAGGGTACATGTAAGTGTCTCCTGCTATCCACGTATAACCCGCCATGTGAATTCACACTCAGTCAAAATAACATTCATGTATATATTTTTTATGGAAAACAAAAGTGGAGACTATGATATACTAGAAGAATCTTTAATATTGAGATTCAGATAGGATTTGATATCTTTAGATTTTGACCATGTGGACGATACAAATACAGTGGAAATCCGCCCCACCTCTTCGAAGAACACATTGTCCGTTTGACTTCTATATATTTGCAGAAAAAAATTATTAAAAATCCATTTTTTTCAAATCAATATTTTTTAGCTTGATGTTTGTTAATATACATGTATGATATATACGAACTCTGACTATTAATTTCTTCATTTTTGGTCTATAATTTAAAAAAAGTTACCCATTAGGTCTCTGTGTTAATTTTATTTTTTTAATTATTAAATACTTGATGGAGTAGGTATAAATAATCTAACAGCGTTCAAATTAAAACAAAAACAACATATATGGGCTTTTAATGTTTGTTTCATTGTACCATGTGACTTCACATATTTAAATATTAAAGGACACCTATAAAAATGCTCATCTCTTTCTTAATAGATTTGATTATTGATTTTAAATTAGTATAGGAATTAAAAAACATATATTCATTGATGATTTTGGAAAGTAAAGTTAATGTTATGACAAGATCTTTTTTATTTTTTTGTTTCCTAAAAACAATGTTTAAAAATATCTTTTTTCTTTATTTGATTAGATAGTTCTATAATCTATAAGAATATAAGCAAGTTTTTCATGCTTTTAGCATTGTGACTTTCACAACAAAACAAGAATGCCCTGTAAACTTTAATCAAGAAATACCTTCAAAATGAAGTTATAAAACATTTCCTTCTAAGTTCTTTACAAACTGCACACCTTCTGACCAGTAAAGTATGAAAACAAAAATTTGGAAAATAAGAAAATAAAAATTTGGAAAATGACAATAATAAAGACCTTTATGACTGAAAATAACAACTTTTTCTGCAAATATATAAAAGTTAAACGGAATGTAGCTAGTTTGGAACATGTGAACAAAGTTATGTTTTAATAAACTTATCCAAGAGTACTTGAGTATTACGCGACATGTGAAGAGTTTTCTAAAAAGACAAAACCAGAAAGTTACAAAAATCTAAAAGGAGCTAACTTTTACCAATCCAAACAACATCGCATAGCTTCAAGTCAATCAGTTCAAGCAAAAAAAAGATGGTGCATTAAATGTGAAAAATAGCCTTAAATCTGATGGTTCAAGTCCCTTAACTCTCGATCGACTAGTGCAAAAAATAGATTGAAATGACTTTTCTTTCGCCAGTTCAAATATTCCGTTAAACTTTCATGAAATTTGATCAAAACATTCACTAGCTTCTGTACAATGTGTGAATGCAGGCAATTGGACTGACGGAAAAGATGGCAAATACGGCCCGTCTGGGGCGGGTTTATAAAATCAATGTAAACAAAAACCCGATAAAAATGAGAATCGTATATTTTATCTGCCGATTGTTTTCTTGCTTTTTAAGAATAATAGCGTTTTTTCGTCAAAACCATTTTACTGTTTCATTTTGTGTGAAATGGCTATTTAGTCCTATAATGTTTGTTGAAATATATAAGATTTTGGTTTTAAACTTATAAATATATGCAAAACTATGAAGCATGAAGTTCGGTAACGAAAATTAAATAGGTCAGTTGTATAAATGTATAGCCATTTACCTTTAAAAAGTTTTAAAAAAAACCTTACTGTATTCATCTATCAATAAATAACCAGGTAAACATTCTAACATAGACTTTTCTTTGCATGTGATATGCATTTTGTAAATTAAATCAGATTCGTTGGCTACAAATGTACAAGTAAGAATAATATTTACGTCTTTTTTTTAAATTTCAATATACTTAACAAATATATGCACAGTCGAATTATTACAGTCAGATTGACAGTTTACAATATATGACATTAAATAACATTGTGGAAGAAGTCATTCCTTAGAATATGAGACGGAGGTCTATTACAGACAGTTCAACTGTAAAAATCAACATCCCAGCAGATGATTCGAAACCGGAACCACTACACGAGGGTGAGATTTTTGAAACCCACAGAGATAGTTCAGATCAATTGAACAAACTGGTTGAAGACGATTCATCTCCAGATCATAGTGCAACAGGAAGTGATTTATTACTAACAAAAGGCACCGGACAGATAGACAAAGAAAGTTTTCATTCTACCAAAAAATGGATTATCAAATATGTAATTCTCCCATCGTTGATATGTGTGATTCTGTTAATACTCTTTGTATATGTACTTTATACTATGAAAACAGATAGTCATGTTCATGAAGGCCACAACCAATCAAAGGTAAGAACTCTCTAATGAAAATAAAATGTGTTATTCCATATTGATCGAACTTTAGCAGGTTTTTCTATATGAATCGGATTTTGAATAAATAAGCATATTCACCTGCGGAAAAAGTATATTCAACGCGCAAAACGTCGCGTGCTTTTACGTGTATTATTTTGGTAAAACGTTTGATGTACAATTGGTTTTGGTAAATAATTGCCATTACAAACAAATTCTCTCGGTACTCTCTCGGAATATGGAATAAAACAATTACTGTCTTTTGTTTCGGTAAATATGTGGTTTAATTGACTTTTGAAAAACTGACCACATATTTACCTCATCAAAAGACAGTAATTGTATATTATTGATACGGAAAAATGGAACAAGTGTAAAATTTTGTCTGATATGTCTGATTTTAAAAATCATATATTTATATGACTGTGTTCTTTACATTATTATACATTCAGTACGCATCCTGACAGTTTTTCAATATATTTTGTCACGTTTTTCTTTTTTTTTTTAAATACTGAAAACGGAAAATACTCTGTCAACCTTTTAATGATCTGAATATTTGACATATACAACGTTTCGAAATTTTAAACAATATACTAATATGATAACATGAAATGCATCATTTAAATTATGCTAGTGCTACTGAAAGGACGGTTCCCTCTGGGACTAGCGGCCAACCAGTGCGTTTATTTGTACTTGTAATGATTTCATTTATTTAAAGGGCATTAGGTGACAAATTTATGTTCACCGATTTGACTCAAATTCTCATATTTTATTTAGAACATACTAAAACGTATATCCAAATATTAAAAAGTCTAAAATAAACAATTTACGATGCACGGACTCGATAATATGTATCAGCATTTGGTGTGTATTTTAGTTTAGACGCCATCTAATTAACCATCGAGGTGACCTACGAAGACTGCCGACGGTCATATAACCCGATATAAACATTAAAAAAAGATATAAATAGATAGCGAACTTTTCTAGGTCTGTTTGATTTCATCTTATAGGTTTAAAAACATGTTAATAATCGTTTTTACCTGTATAGCAATGAGTTTTTGTAAATCGAATCAGTCAACCAAATGGTTTACCCTTGTTTTACTTCCAATGTTGACATTCTTTTCTTTTTAATAGCTAAACACACCTAGTTCATGCGTAACCCAACTCTAGATAAGGGATTCAATTGAAGTTCACATGAATACGGATTCAATGAGGTCGAATTATTCACTTGCAAGTGAATAATTCATTAGTGATGTTTCTTTGCTTATTTTGACAAAACTGAACCAAACTGGCTGCTCTAAGCAAATTATTATATTACTATTTCACATTCATTAATGATGGAACAAAAAAAAAATCATATATTATTTTTTTCTTTTTCTCGTAGCTAATGCCCCTTTAAGTACAGTATAAAATATATTTAGAATCTTCTCTAATTTATTACTTGCTGGCCATATGGTTGATTTTGTTTATCGCATACATTCTTGTTTAATATCTTTGGGAATTTAATACTGTGGATTCATTTATTTTCGTGGGTACCAATTTTCTAGGATTGAGGAAAACTTGCATTTTCGTGGATATTCGATTTCGTGGTTTTGCCAAAATGTGCAGAAATTTCTATAGAAAATTTACACATCTTTGAACATTTAAATTTGTGGTTCCCCTGTACCCACGAAATTCACGAAAATTGGTATCCAACGAAGAATAATGAATCCAAAGTACGTACCATTTTGTGCTCCATCTTTTATGTATAGGTCATGCATATGTACCAAAGACATGTATGTTTAAAATATGATTATGTTATTGTATGCGAAAATACAATATTTGTATCAAATTTTAATAGTAGCAGTTGGCACTTAATAAGATAACGAGTATATACTGCATTTGTTTCGTTTATGTTTTTCCCTCCTAAGGTGACAATGTCATTTTGATAAAATAGGAAAATAATTGATAAACTGATATTTATTTGAACTGATTTTACACTAATATGTTATCTGAATGTGTAGTTCAACACTTATTGATAACATTATAAAATGATATAATCATGAGAAGGCAGTGGTCATCAAATGTGAATGTTGTTCCAAATGATCCTATTTTAGAACAGCTAATCAAGGAAAGTGGACAAGAACAACCGCTTGTGACGTCAAATCAAAACCTACGTTTTCATGGAAGTGATCATAACAAATCACAAAAGGATATTACTCTGGATATAGAATCTCCCGCCACTGTAAAGCGTTTACAAAAGGAATAGTTCAGTGACTGTTGCAAGAAATTTATTTGGCAAAAAGACATGTTTGATCTTAATTTTAATATCAGTGGTGTTTTTAGTTCTGTGCGCGCTACTAATTCACAAGATATTAATTAGTATAAACAATATTGAGATAGATCCTCCACACAGTAGCCCCCAGGTATGATTAATTTTTCATTTCATGTCGGGAAATAACACTACCACTTTTACAGGTTCGACAAACGTAGACAAACTGTAAAATAAAAACGTTTATTCATTTTAAAAGTTAAAAGGCCACTTTTGGTTGTCGGTGATCAGATGAATGTTGAAAAAAGTAATTACCAATGTTTATTTTTCTAAACCTATCTAATTTGCTGCATAAGCATCCAAACAGCTATGATAGTATTTATCAAAAGTGATAAAAGTGAGTCGAATGAAATGGAGACAATTTTTGAAGTATTATCAAACAATGTGTGTGTTGATTTCATAGTTCTTTTCTTCTGGTTCTTGCTGTTATTATTAGGGCCCGCCGAATGGCGGACGCCCTATAGTGATCAGTCTGTCCGTCCGTCTGTCCATCCGTCCGTCCGTCCGTCCGTCCGTAACAAATTGTGTCCGCTCTATATCTAGAGAACCGTTATGATTTCAAAGTTTATACTTGACATGTATATTAACCAACACCAGAGGGTGTGTTATAATGTATGTACAACTTCCTAGGTCAAAGGTCAAGGTCAAAAACTTTGGTTTTAGTTGACAACCCCATGTCCTATGGTAAAGATCGTGCCCGCTCTATATCTTGAGAACCGTTATGATTTCAAAGTTAATACTTGACATGTATATAAACCAACACCAGAGGGTGTGTCATAATTTATGTACAACTTCCTAGGTCAAAGGTCAAGGTCAAAAACTTTGGTTTTAGTTGACAACCCCATGTCCAATGATAAAGATACAAATTTTTGACAACACATTATTCACAGCGGGCCCACAGAGATGGCTCCCATCTCAATGATATCTAGTTCGTTTTAAATGGTCATACATTAATGGTTTCTTTAAATTCAATGGTCTTCTATTGTACAGTACTGAATTTGTGCTCTAAGCGTGTAATGCACGCAAAACAGTAATTATTTACCATGACTGTGTCGACGTACCTTTTTTTAACCGTTTTTCTGAGTTCATACAATCATATGCCTGATTTTAACTTATAGTTATTAGCAAATGTTCTGATACTTTCGAGCAAAACCGTCGAAATGCCAAATAAAATACTGGACAGAAGCCAAAGTGCATTAAATCCCCGAATTTTCAAAAAAGTTAATACGTTAGTAAACAAGCCTCTGGCCTTTGTTAGTCTTGTATCATTTTTAATTTTAGTTTCTTGTGTATAATTTGGAGTTTAGTATGACGTCCATTATCACTGAACTAGTATACATATTTGTTTAGGGGCCAGCTGAAGGACGCCTCCGGGTGTGGGAGTTTCTCGCTGCATTGAAGACCCATTGGTGGCCTTCGGCTGTTGTCTACTCTATGGTCGGGTTGTTGTCTCTTTGACACATTCCCCATTTCCATTCTCATTTTAAATTTCATTTTCAAAGGAGATATGTGACTTTGGCTATATGTTCCCACATTTATAATATTTAACTCAACCTCATAGATCTATACGGAAAAATTGGTTCTCCAAGACGAAGAATGTATCACGTAACGTTTTATACCCATACAATCACATTTTGATCAAACATTTCGTCACAATATAATTCCAAAACAAATTATTCTTGTGTTTTGATTTCATTTCAGAAAAATGTCACTCAAAGTGCACATATGAACACAGTTTAGGTAAGCAAAAAAAAACTAGATATACTGTACGTTAAATAGTCAACTTGACTGTTATCATAACATTTGAAGTAAGGAATTATTTCCATGATTTGTCACTTTTGGTGACTAAGAGTCAATAGATTCCTTACAATGAACGCGTCAACGATTTAAAAGTGTATTTGGAACAGAGATAATTTTAACCAGTTTCCCACTGTCTTTTAGTGTTCAAAGAGTTTAAGTTTTACCATAATTATTTTTCAAATTTTCGTGTACATATAGACAAACGTGACTCGTGTTCTACTTCAAATTATTGCATTATTGTTACATTTTAGCTCACCCGTACAAAATTCTATAAAATCGGAGATAATCATTCATTCGTTCTAGTTCAGCTACATTATTCAAGTATTCGTCGTATGCACTAAAGCAACCATCACATACATTGTCGTGAAAGCAGTACAGCCTCATTTTGGGTCTTTATTCTTTTACGTTTTTGATTTTAAGATGGATGGTATCGTTATTGAGTAATTGAACAATTAAAGCAAAGCAACTAACTCAAATATTGTGTGAGCCACATGGCCAACGAGTCATTGTCTATAATACAATGTGTTGACAGGATGAGATGCCTACTATCAAAACTTCTTTACACACATATCTTGATTACGTGTTTCCTTTTCAGATATTCTGTTCCAAATGTCTTTCTATTTAGATCATTCGTCTAAATATGCGGGCGTAGGAGTATTAAGGTGTCTCACTATTGGGTGTTCGAATATCGGGCCTGCCCATAAAATGGACTGGTTACCATTTAGACGCACCAGATCTTGTTCCGTTTGGAGTTCATGATATCTTTTCATACCTTAATTTGTATTTGCCAGCATGAAATTGTAACATTGAAATTGACTTATACCTACCGTGATATATATATAGAGTAATGATTTGATTTGCGGTTGATAAAATGTGCCCTGTCGACGCACCCAATTCTGCTTCCTAGTACTTCGTGTAATTTTTTTATTTTATTTTTTATATGGGTTGCGTATTTTCAAAACGAATGTAAACCACTGTAGCCTCTTAGTTATACTACGCTTCTTTGAAAAAAGTTTCCTATTAACAAATGCGCAATGTCCATAATGAAATCAATGGAACAAAGCATATGAGTAACAGCAAAGTTGATTGATATATAAAAGCAGATATATTCATAAAATATTTTTACTTGAAACAATAAAAATCAAATTTAAAATCAAAATGTCTTTATAAGGCTGTGGTCCGTGCAGATGGGGAACATTAATGATAGATATGCAAGGGTAGGTTTCCATTGGAATTTGATATAATGAAAAGTGTTAATAGTGTAATCTTAGTTCCCGTTGTTACTTTAGTTATATTTCTGCATCAGCTTCCAAATTCGACTGAAAACATGGGTAATGCTATTCAAGAGAAAAAATTAATGAAGAAAACACATTGAAATAAAAAATAATTAGAATTGAAGGTTCAAATCTTGGATGTTTGACTCATTGGGATCTTCGTTCTTGTAATATTTAAGATATTAAGTAAATCTAATCATGCTAATTGATTAAGCTAGTACATGAAAAAACACTTCACCAAAAGTTAGACTTGAAGCAAGGACTTTTATACTATGACTATCAAAATCCTTGCTTCGAGTGGAAAAAAAAATCTTTTTAACATCATTTAAAAGTTGTTTTTTTTAAAGTGACAAACTCAATTTATTGGGAAACAATACTTATCTTTGGCTGTTTTTAGGTCCATTTTGGTGATATGGCTCTTCAACTGTTGGGTCTTATACATCCTTGGCTTTCAAATATTCGGCTTTGAACGTTCCTGATGAAGATAAATCTAGAAAAGCGCTTCGGACGCATGAAATTTATAACGTAATGTTTTCATTTTTCATCATAAATAGATTTCTGAATTTAAGATTATATTATTTCTGTTAATTATGAATATGCCATATGTATTTGAATCAGTGATTAAATCAATTCTATTTTTAACGTGTTATTGCAAGATACCACTTTAACACACTACGACCTTTTGTTGGGAATAGTTTCATCAGACGATTCCCAAAATATAGACAATAATAATTATAACAAAAACATAAGAGTTAATAATCTCTTATTTATTACGAAGAGTTCACTTAATCTAATGATTCACTTATCTTTTCAACAATAATTCAAAATTAAAAAAAATATCAAAATAGATTTAAATCGTGACTGTCCTTTAAATGCGTAGCAGGGCTGATTAATATACTGACATAAGACGCTATATTTTAACATAGAATTTCATATGCACTATACAGAATGGTTCTATGTGTTTACAACAGTTCTAAAAATATTGCTACGGGTTCGCTGAAAATTTTTGAAATGTTGATAGTGACTTATATTATTAATATAAAACTGTGAGATTAAGCCATTCACATAAAAATTTGGGATTTGATTGATCAGAATACATTAGTCGAATACCATCTACGAGTGACTATGAAAGATAAAAAAGATTGCGTCGTACTTTTAGATTCTAATAATTCTAGTGATAAAACCACGCCAGGGAAATATGTTTGGTTTATGTTAATTATGATCATTGTAATCATTTTACTGGTTTTATCTATAGGAGGCGTGGTAATTTATAAAATTATGCAGGCGGCTGGTAATGAAAATATCATTTTACCGAACAAATTCAATATTTCGGTAAGCTATAATTTCATACTCTTCCTAAAACTTTATATACAATTACTACAAGTTATTTTTTTTCGGTTTTTCTTGTATTGTTCGTCAATGATTTTAAACTTGAAACAAAAAATAAAATAACAAAAATAACGAACTCCAAGGAAAATTCCCCTTATAGTCTCTTGGCTTTGTTGTATATCGTTGTTGCGAGAGAGAGAGAGAGAGAGAGAGAGAGAGAGAGAGAGAGAGAGAGAGATTTTTTCTTTTAATGGGGAAAATAAGGGATATTGCATGGACACTATTTATGATCTGTCATCGTTGTTACAAGAAAGAGTAAGAAAATACCAAGAAAAAAAAACCACATTAATAAGTTGAAGTAGACATAGAAATAACAACAACAAAAAGAAGAAACAAAAAAACACTGGAAACCGACTTCCACTAGACACCATGCAGAAAACTAAAGATTGAATAACACGAACCCCACAAAAACAGGAGTTCAACTCCGGTGTAATTCCTTCTTTCCAACATCCTTACATGTGTTATTGTTACTCAATTTAATAGCAGATTTATCATTTCTTTGTCTTTATTTTTGTCTTTTAGAGGTTAAACTAAAGTGTCGTGTTAAATACGTTATTACTCAGAAAAATGGAAATATATCATGACCGTATGTCAGAGCAAGGCAGTTTTGTCCTCCAGAATCCGAATACCAGTGTGACAATTAAAAAGCAGACTAGAATTACAGATGTGTGTTCCTTGAATAGACGTTAATGAAAAGTGCACTAAGTTGTCAAATATGAAGACTAATGAAGAAACACGTGTTGTACTTTTAACAGGAACAATTCAAATGATCTTTAATTCTGGACAGTTATGTTTGTGTACAATGTATAGTATTGCCGATGAAAATAGTCCAATGTGTTATGCCAGAAAAAAATAATTTTATTGTATTTCACATTCTATTGATTTTATAGTCATTGAAACTTATGAAATGGTGCAGTTGCTCTATCGAAACAGTTTTCATAATTATCTTGAGTCATGATAAAAGACAAAATATTTAAAAAAAATTATGTCACTTAGTGTAAATAACTGAATATATAAGTACTGGATTTCGCTTTTAATAATACACTGTTTGTTTACCACACCTATCCAATTTCAATGTACACATGTTATCAATACTTCCTTTTAGACCCGATAGATTTACATTCATTGCTTCCCGTCTTAGGCTGTGTTTGTATATACGCATAAGGCAGTCTATGGTTATCCATAGGTATCTTTGAGTACCCATGGTTTGATATTTTGATATATGAAATATCAAACCATTGGTACTTAAAGGTACTGATGGGTAACCATAGACCGCCTTATGCGTATATCCAAACACAGCCATAGTGATTTTGACTTGACAGAACGTAAGAGATCAATATGATTTTTTTAAATTTAATTGTTTGTTATTCAATACGGGAATTCTTTTTGACCATTTTATAATGTTTCATATCTTTAACAGTTTCAATTATACAAAAAAAAAGACAATTTTTATCATTGTACTTTGTCATTTAATTCTTGAACAAAACACAGGCTGTGTTTGTATATACGCCTAAGACAGCCTATGGTTACCCATAGGTATCTTTAGGTACCAATGGTTTGATATTTTGATATATAGAATATCAAACCAAAGGTACCTATGGATAACCATAGGCCACCTCTGGCGTATATCCAAACACAGCCACACTTAGCATTTGTAAATACGACATAACATGACCTTTACCTTGAATTAATATCTATTAAGATTGGTTTAACAACGATATATTTAAAACACTATCTGATTGCTTTTGATTAAAGTATATATATATATATATATAGAAAACCGATAGTGAAAATATTTGTAAACAGCAGATATTTTTCTGTTGGTATATTGGTTGGTATAGGCTGTGTTTGGATATACGCCTAAGGCAGCCTATGGTTACCCATAGGTATCTTTGGGTACCCATGGTTTGATATTTTGATATATAGAATATCAAACCAAAGGTACCTATGGATAACCATAGGCCACCTCTGGCGTATATCCAAACACAGCCATATTATGACACTGTCAAATATAAATTAGATAGTATTCATGCATTTTCAGTATTTAATAAATTGAACATAAATCATGATGGAAATCTTTTTTCTTGATTTATACATTCTAACATTGGACGAAGCAACGTTGTTAAACATCCCGAACAGACAGAAGACGCCCTAACTTTTTTCAAGGATTTTATTGTCGGATGGGAGAAGTTCAGCGGATGACTATTTTAATATCCCAGTCAACCCTTTTTGATTTTTTATACGACCGCAGGTAGTATTATGTTGTGGTGTTGTCTGCGTCTGCGTCTGAAGACATTTTGGTTCGCAGACAATAACTTGAGTATAAGATCATGGATCTCTATGAAATTTTAGCACAAGGTTTCATACCAGTAAAGGATGGTTGGGATGGTTTTAAGGGGCTATTGTCCTTGCGGTTTTGTAATTAGGGGCCAGAAAAGGTCAGTTTTACTGGTTCATGGAAAATAAATTGGTTCGCAGTCAATAACTTTAGTGTAAGTGTATGGATGTGTAAGAAAATTTAGTACAAGGTTCCATACCACAATAAGAGAGTTGGGATTGATTTTGGGGGTTATTGTCTTAGCTGTTTTGTAATTAGGGGCCAGAAAGGGGCCAAAAACAGTTATTTGTGTTTTTAATACAATAACTTGAGTATAAGACATATTTCTTTAGTCAAAATTTTAACACAAGGTTACACACCACAATAGGAAGGTTGGGATTAATTTTGGGGGTTATTGTTATAGCTGTTTAGGAATTAGGGACCAAAAGGGTCTAACAAAAACAATTTTTTGTCAGGTTCACAGACAATAACTTGAATATAAGTGTATGGATCTTTATTAAATATTAGGACAAGGTTCCATACCACAATAGGAAGGTTGGGATTTATTTGGGGGCTTAGTGTCGTGGCTGTTTAAGAATTAGGGGCCAAAAACAAGCATTTTTCATGTTTCAGGACAATAACTGGTGTATGAAAGTATAGATTTCTATGAAATTTTACCACAAGGTTCCATACTTCATTAGGAAAGTTTAGAATGATTTTTTGAGGGTTATGACCCATATCGTTTAATAATAAGGGGTCGAAAAGGGGGCGAAAACAACTATTTTTTCTGGTTTGCAGGCAATAAATTGAGGAGAAATGTATAGATTTCTATTCAATTTTAGCACAAGGTTCCATAAATAAAGGCAACAGTAGTATACCGCTGTTCAAAAGTCATAAATCGATTGAGAGAAAACAAATCAAGGTTAAAAACTAAAACCGAGGGAAACACATCAACTATAAGAGGAAAACAACGAAATATCAGAACACAGAAGTGCAACAAAAAACAAACAACAATGCAACATTCATAGAAACGAACTATTAAATAACAACTGCCATATTCCTGACTTGGTACAGGACATTTTAAGAAAAAATGGTGGGTTGAACCTAGTTTTGTGGCTAGCCAAACCTCCGCGCTTTATGGCAATGTTAAATATACCGCTAAAATGACAACATTACATGACGGGAACAGAGTACAAATAAATCCAAAAACACCAAAAGACAGAGAAATACATAAATAAATAATATAATAGAACATTTCGACATGTTAACCACAGAATAACAACGAATAACTAAAATAATTTAGGACATAACACAAAGACAGCTTAATAGAATTACGAAGTGTGTGTATGTAACACGAATGGATCAACGCCACAAAAAGTAACGTCACAGGTAAATTCTAAAAATTGAATATTTCTAATTATGTTATTACTTGTATTTTATAACAATTACAAGAATATTAATATAGAATTGTGTTAGTAATAGTGCAACTAACTATGTCGGCCTTTCTTCCAAATCAAACTGTAAAACAAATAAATCCGGTGCACATAGTTGCTTTAAACTAAAATCATACAAATTACCTGGTTGATTAAGTATCTTTACTTTTACATACGAATAGAAAATAAAAGATAGAATCACAACTACAAACGATAAGACACAAAACAATATCCGATCAGAATTAAAGATAAAACTTCGTAAATAAATACATGAACGCTGGATAAACAAATACCGAGACACGTCTTATAGCAATGTGAATTAACACTCAGTTAGAACTTATACCACATTCCTTCTGTGTCAGAAACTATGCTGTTATTACATATTTGCTCAGAATCTAAATTCAGAGATGGTATGCTGTGTGAAATATTCAATCACAATCCAAATTCAGAGCTGTTTTAAGCTTAAATGTTGCGTCCATACTTGCCCCAACTGTTCAGGGTTCGACCTCAGCGGTCGTATCAAGCTGCGCTCAGCGAAGCATTTTATTAAACATTCGTGTGATCTTACTACCGTTGTTCACAATTACATACCCGCATACAGTTATGATTTGGACGCGTGCCAACATGTCATTAAATATTTCAAAAATAGAGAATGGATGGTCTTTGCTTTGGGATTTTCAATACTCTTGTAACTAACACGCTGACACCATTCTGTCACTACCACTGGGTTTATATTGGATAACGTTTAAAGAGCTGATGTTTGAACGACATTCGTGACATTGTAATATTGTTAACGACATTGTAAAAAGTAAAATAACAAATATACTGAACTCCAAAGAAAATTCAAAACGGAAAGTCCCTTATGGATCAAATGGCAAAATCGAAAGCTCAAACACATCAAACGAATGGAAAACAACTGTCATATTCCTGACTTGGTACAGGCATTTCTTTATGTAGAAAATGGCGGATTAAACCTTTGTATGACAGTCGCAATAAAATTCCATTATATTAACAACAATAAGTGAACAAAACAAACAGACATAAAAGGTAAATAAAGGCAACAGTAGTATACCGCTGTTTAAAAGTCATAAATCGATTGAGAGAAAACAAATCCGGGTTACAAACTAAAACCGAGGGAAACACATTAACTATAAGAGGAAAACAAAGGAACAACATAAACACTGAAGTGCAACAAAAACAAACGCCAACATACATAGAAACAAACTATTTGATAACAGCTGCCGTATTCCTGACTTGGTACAGTACATTTTAAGAAAAAATGGTGGGTTGAACCTGGTTTTATGGCTAGCCAAACCTCCCGCTTATATGGCAATGTTAAATAATAAAAATGTCAAAAATAAGGGTACATTAGTTAACATTGTGTTGTAATCTTAATCACTATAAAACAAACAAATATTTTTTATATATGTTTAACCCCGTCACATTCTCTATGTGCCCGTCCCAAGCCAGGAGCCTGTAGTTCAATGGTTGTCGTTGGTTCATGTCTGTCATATTTGTTTTTTGTAAATTGTGTTGTTATAAATTAGGCCGTTAGTTTTCTCAATTGAATTTTTTCATATTTTTCATGTCGGGGCTTTTTATAGCCGACTATACGGTATGGGTTTTCTCATTGTTGAAGGCAGTACGGTTGTCTATAATTGCTTGCATCCACTTCATTTGAACTTTGGTGAATTGTTGTCTCATTGGCAATCATACCTCATCCCCTTATTTTTATATAGCACATTAACACAATGGCGGGATGTATAAGTACCGAGCCACGCCAAAAGGATATTATCAAAAATGGACTAAACAGTAAAGGTTAGTAATGTACAATGACAAATAAAAGAATGGAAAACAACAGTCATATTCCTGACTTGGCACAGGCATTTCCTTATGTAGAAAATGGTGGATTAAACCTAATTTTATAGCTAGCTAAGCCTCTCACTTGTATGACAGTCGCATAGAATTCGATTATATTGAAAAAAAAAACATACATAATAGGTAAAAATGTCAAAAATAGGGGTCAGCAGTCAACATTGTGTTTTAATCTCATCACTATAAAAACAAACAAATATTTTTATATATGTTTAACCCCCCCACATTCTTTATGTGCCCGTCCCAAGTCA